GCAGGAAGGAGAAACGGAAAAACATGTATTCTCTCTTTGAAGGAGACTTCCCAGAGGTCACTCACATTATTTCTACTCATACCTCCTGGGGAGAATCTATTCTGGTGGATACACGTAGCTATGAAGGGGAAGGGGGAATGTATGTTTTGAACTGGGATATTAAAGAAAAGGGGAGAATGGATACTGGGTGGCAATTAGCAGTGACTAATAGAGCCAAGATCAGGCCTTACACTGCTTCTTGTACTCCTTCAGGACAAAGAACAGCATTATGCACAAAAAGGATTCTCTTAAGAAAAGTTATCTGTAAAGGTAAGAGGAAAAAAGAGCAAGCTTAGCTAGGAATAAGCATAGATTTGCTTAGGATAATGGACAGGGACCTTGACAAAAATGACACAGGCGATTAAGCCTCTGGTTCCCCTACTGCTTGTCATTCTCAATGGCATTTTATTTTTTATAGACTGACTAGAGAAATCAGGAAGCCTTCACAAAACATGGTGTGATGTCTACTGGTGGAGGCAGGACATGAGGTGAGTTAAATTGCAAAGAACTTGTTTCTAATAAGAACCCAGACAAACTGAGAGCTTAGTTTAAACCGGCGCACTTGTACTTAGTTTAAACCAGTACTTGTACTTTTTTCTTGAAGTGTAAGCATTCTAAATGGCTTTGAAGAATTTTGTAACCCTTCTTTGTTTAAAAACAAATAAGTAAACATAGTATTGGATTCCATGATTGGTTAGCTAGCAGTCAGGACTAATAGATACCTTATAAACTAGCTATGTTACCTCAGAGTTTTATTGTATACTCAGAGTATTGAGACAATGAATGCTTACTCAGAGTATTGAGACAATAACGAACTATGTTTTAATTGAGTTTTATTTTGGATGTCTTTGTGGATTGCAAACAAATACAAACCCTGTAAAAACAACACAATTTACATTCAATTAATATTTACTGAGTCCCTACTTTATGCTAGGCTTTGTGACATAACAGCCGTGTGGGATAGATAAGCATTATCCTCACTTTACAGTTGACGAAATGTAGGTTTTTAAAGGTTAAGTAAGGTTCCCAGGATCAAAAAAAAAATGAGTAACACAGTGGGGATTTGAAGCTAGGTGTCTCATGCACTTAAGAAAAAAGTTCCCATAGTTTAAAACGTTATTTTTAAGTTTCAAAACTAAAATGTACACATTGTAAAACAAACAAGCCTGATTAAGACAGAAGAGTATAAGTAAACTTTGAAAGCCCATCCCACCCCTGTCTCCATACCTCTTTCCAAGCATAAGCACTGTTAGTAGTTTGGCATAAATTCTTCCATATCTTTCCTTTTGTCCAATGTACTCTTTACAGTATCACACTTCCTATCTACTTAAAGATTTAATAAATAGAGGAGGTTGAATTTACTATATATTTAATAGTATAAACATCTATCTTTAAAATAATAACTGAATTGTTCATTTAGCTAACATTAGGCATCTCACTAGAGAGACTGGAAGAAGAACAGAACTCACTCTCTTTTTCTGAGGGATTCATAGGCTAGTGCAGTGTTCTTGAAGTTGAGAGAGTGCATATGGACTCCTCTGTGAGTATGATGCAAGCTCCAAACCTTCTCCCTAGAAGAAAATGAACCTACATAAAATTTTGCCTATAATTCAGGAACCCTGCGACAATATGGACCCCTGCTCTTGTACAAGATTGTTAAATTAATAATTTATCATAAATACTAAAATAGAAATGTGAACAAGATACTATAGCAGCACAGAAAAGCAAGGGTTTTACTGAGACATGTCAAAAAAGACAGGGAAGGGTGATACTTGCACAGAATCTTGAAGGACACAAGAAGTTTGACAGCTATCTGAGGGTAGGGGAAGGAGGTCCACTGAGGAACTACATTCATAAAGCCCAGAGGCTAGAAAGGACAGGGAACCACAGAACTTTCTTTGTGGCAGGAGCCTAGTGTGTATGAGAGTGACTGAAGACAAGTTTGCAGAACTGAATAGAGGCCAGATCATGAAGGCAGAGGTCTATTGTGTTAGGATGTTTGAACTTTAAGAGTCACTGAAGAATTCTGTTCTAGATTTTCATAGGTAGGTAAGAAGTCTAAAATTAATGCAAGACTAAATGATAGTGGAATTGACACATGGATGATAGAATAAGAAATAGAACAGAGGTAAGACGATTTAATTCAGATTTGTTGGAGGATCATTTAGGGGCAATAGCATTACTTTTTCCTGTTTGCTTTTTCTAGCTCATTAAAAATGTTAATTAATATGAATAAATAAAGTTCTGTGTTGCTTTCTTTTTTCTCCAAATGTATTGAAGCATAATTGACATATAAAGTTTTAAGATATTTAAAGCGTGCAATGTGATGATTTGATATACATGTGAAAGGACCCTCCCCCATCAAGTTAACATATCCATCATCTCACATATTTACTTTTATTTTTGAGAGGTGAGAATATTTAAGTTCTACTTAAGAGAGAACTTTCAATTTCAATTATACAATGTAGTCTTATCAACTCTAGTCACCATGTTATATATTAGATCCTCAGACCTTAGTCATCTTACAACTAAAAGTGTGTACCCTTTACTATACAGCCTCTCCCTATTGTTTTCTTTAAAGAATCATTAGCCATAAACAATCTTTGGAATTTGATTAAACTCAAACTTGTGTTAAGTGTCCACTACAAAACGTTCTCAAAGTTTTCATGCCTATAATTCCCAGGAGGGAGAGATACCAATAGTATGGTTGAGAATGTAGTAGGAAAGGGATGACTAATGATGACTTGGAGGATAGGAAAGGCTTCGTAGAGAAGGAGGTGCCTGAACTGAGCCTTGAAGCGTGAGAAATATTTCATTAGGCAGGGAAAGACATCTGAGGCGCAGAGGATGGGAGGAACAAATGTAGAGGCAAGTGTTGGATGAGATGCATGAATTGTGATCACCTACATGTCTATATGATATATGCTAACTATTATAGAGTTTTATTTGGAATACTATGAAACAGGGGAACAAATTAAGTAGGTTCAGCTAGTCCAGCCATTAGCTGTAACAAAATCATATCAGCTAATTTAGAATTCCTAGGCCTCTGGGTAAACTACTTATACAGGGAGAATGCTGTTGTTTTACTGGTAAGAGGACATTGCTGACCACTGTCAATGGTGCATAGGCCGTGGGCTATTCTTCTGACTGAGCTTATAGATTTGCAGGGTTTGTATGTGATTCCCAACTCCTGGAGTCTTTGTTCACTGGGAGGTAGTGAGAAATTACAATAATTCTGAAGACTGGGTTTTACTCTCTTCTCCTTTTTAGCAGTTCTGAAAGTGCCAAAGGCAGATCCAAATTGGATTCATCTGAACTGTGAAAAAAATTCTCCCAGGAGAGACAGCAGTAACCTGGTTTCCCCTCTCACCTACAAAAGGCTTTGATGACTAATGATCTATTTCACAAGGTACTACTAACTCAGCTTAGTGATTCTGATCTTGTGAGTCTTGCAGTTGCCTGTGCTGCTGCAGCAGGAGGAGCTCTTCCTGAGGACAAGTTAAGGTTTTAACATGTTGCTGTACCCTCTCTGCAAGTGGCGGTCACCCTAGGGGTGCAGGGAGCTTTTTCTGGAGCTCAGGGCTTTTCTCCTTCACAAGTCTCTCGGGAGCCTCTCTTGCCTTTCACTGTCTTCCCTCTTCCACTGAGCGCTGACCTAGTGAAAATAGAGTGACAGGCACATTTTTGGGGGAAATAGGTACTGACCTTGTATTGGGGCAACACTGTGCACGGAGTGTCTCGAGAGGCTCTTATCTTCTACTCAGATGAATCCAGGGAGAGAACCTATTTGAAAGGCTGAAATTAAAGCAAGTCAAACCAGCATAAGAAGAGAGTTTGAGCACATCTTCCTGACCAGACCTATAGCTCACAAAGCATTCAGGCTCACAAATCAGGTTCTGACACATTTAGGTATGCACATCAATGCAACAAGTCAGAAGAGCCCCTGGAAGTAATATGGTCTGAAACTTTTGATACATTTTGATGTCTAAAATGAAGAATTTTTAAATTTAAAACAATTATCTCTAGACATTGGGTTGTTTTTTTATGTGTAATAACGTGTTCTTTTTTTCTGATTGATGTTGACATATAGCAACTCAACCAAATTACTCTATCCTACTGACATTATTAGGTAATAATAATAAAAATTAACATGCCAGTGGAGTGGAGGTAGGGGGAGCTCTGTTATTCCATATGTTGACATAAAGAACCTTGCTGGCTGCTGAGCTACGGAACTGCCACTCTCTGTGCTTTGCCCTCTTCTCACTGGCTCTGGGCACTCAGGTTGTTGGCAATGGTGGCACATCAGTTACAATTAGATTTGGTGTGGGACCATTCACAAGGAAATCCTGCTCTCTCTGGGTCTCCAAGCCTAGTGGTGGGCAGGGGGTATATTTCTGCCAGTGAAACTTTACTTGATACAATAAAATAGGATGGTGTTTTTCCCCCTAACAAAAATCATCTCCGGGCTATAAACTGTTTCTATATTTCCCACTCCTTTTTTTTTTCCTATGTGAAGCACGTGTGGTAAAAAATGTTTCTTTTGCTGTCCATCAAATGAGAATTCAATTACTTTCACTGGTAAGAGAACACTGCTGACCACTGTCAATGGTGCATAGGTCGTGGGCTATTCACCACAAAACTTGTTGAACCCAAGCCCAGAATGGTATTAAGAGCTGGGGATACAAAAATGAATAAAAGACCCCTCTGCTCCCAGTCTGGTGAGGGAACTAGCATTTAGGCATTTAACTAAGTAAGGATGGGATGCGATTGGGATGGTGGCCTTATGGCCTGGTTCAGTGGCAGGGGCCAACCATTTTCTAGCAATAATCATATTTAAGAAGAGGTCAAGGAAGAGGCTGACCTGAGGACCAAGGTCCATTTTCAAATTAAGAGTAGTTATTGTTTACAGTGGTTGCCAACCTTTCAGACCTCACAGACCACTAGTGGTCCTTGGACCACCGATGGACGACCGCTGCTCCAAAGGTTTCCTTAAAACAGTGGTCGCCAGCCTTTCGGACCTTGCGGACCACCGGCTGGCAACCGCTGGTAGGATGTCTCATGGCACAGAACTTATTTCATTCTTTAATTTATTGCCTTTGCCACTTTTAAATTGTTGTGTATTCAGGGTGATTTGATTGTATATTTATTTGGAAGTGGGTATAAAAAGTTACATTATCATTGAGGTGTCCTTATTTTAAACACTTACATACATGCCTATGTATTGTGAAATTTATCTCCTTATCATATTGCTTCTAAGTGTCACACTGTGCTTTTTGTTTTCCTGCATTATGCTGATTAAGGAATTATATTAATAAATTTATAAGTATCAATCCATTTTTATATTCTGAAACTCTACTGATCATAGTATTATATTTGTGTTTTCTGAGATTTTATTTAGAATATTTCTATATTTAGGCTATCTTAGAGTAGATTTGGTACCAGAACCTCATAGAGTGGATTTAGTAAAATTTACATATACCCTATTCTGAGATATGGATTAAATAACAATAGTCATTGTTATTGATAGAAACTTCCTATTTTATTATCCTGGGTCATTTCTTATTTTGGGGGTAGATATTTGACACCTCCCTTTCAATATATTCTATAGATAGTTAGTCTAGTTAAATTCCAGTTTTTAAAACAGAATTCAGCAATTTGTGTTATCCTAAAAAATTTTCCCATTTCATCTAGCTTTAAAAAGTTATTGGCAGCCCTGGCTGATGTGACTCAGCTGGTTGGAGCTCCTCCCATACACGCCACTTGGGGAGTGTGCAGGAGGCAACCGATCAATGTTTCGCTCTCACATCGATGTTTCTCTTTCTCTCTCTCCTTTCCTCTCTCTCTCAAATAAATAAAAACATGTCCTCAGGTGAGGAATAAAAAAAATTATTGGCAATAAGTTATGAGTAGAATTTTTTAAAGTAAAATTTCCTAGCCTGTGAATTTGTGGTTACATCTCTTTTTGTACAATTTTGTGCTCTTTCTCTTCCTCTCAATCTCCCTCTCTCCTCAGACTTGCCAGAGTTTTTCTCATTTTATCAATTCACTTAACTTGTTTTTTTCAAATAGCTATCAGAGCCAACACAGGAATTTATATATAGATATATAGTATATAGAATATATATAGAATGAATATATATATATATATCACACACACACACACACACACACACACACACACACACTAGAGGCCCGGTGCACGAATTCGTGCACCAGTGGGGCCAAAACTGGCTCTCTGACATCCCCCGAGGGGTCCCAGATTGCAAGAGGGTGCAGGCCAGGCTAAGGGACCCCACCAGTGCATGATTGGGGCCGGGGAGGGATGCGGGAGGTTGGCCAACCAGGCAGGGACCACTGGAGGCTCCAGGGCATGTCTGGCCCATCTGGCTCAGTCCCAATCAGCCGGACCTAAGCAGCAAGCTAACCTACCAGTTGGAGCGTCTACCCCCAGTGGTCAGTGCACGTCATAGCGACTGGTTGACTGTCTGCCCCCTAGTGGTCGGTGCACGTCATAGTGAGCGGTTGAGCGGTCTTAGCATATCATTAGCATATTACGCTTTGATTGGTTGAATGGCTGACCGGACAACTGGACACTTAGCATATTAGGCTTTTATTATATAGGATATTGATTTCAGAGAGGAAGGGAGAGGGAGACATAGAAACACCAATGATGAGACAGAATCACTGATCGGCTGGCTCCTGCACACCCCCTACTGTGGATCAAGCCTGCAACCTGGCAATGTGCCTTGGCTGGAATCGAACCCAGGACCCTTCAATCCATAGGCTGATGCTCTATCCACTTAGCCAAACCAGCTAGGGCAGGAATTGATATATTTTTAATGACAACAAAAGTGGTTCCTTATCCTATGACATGAAGCAATTTATTTAAATAGAATAATAAAAAAATAATGGTCTTACTTGGAGCTACTTGCTATGTAACTGGGTAAATCATTGTTCAAACTAATTTCCTTCCATAAAAAGTGAATGGTGACATGCCCTGCCCACTGGGCAGCACAGCTGCAGTGAACAGGTAAGGTAATGTATACAAGTGTACTTTGAAAACTATAGCACAGGTATAAACAAGGTCATGAAATATACTATTTCATGAAATATATGTCGCTTTTAGTCTGTATAAAAACAACAACCACCCTTTTAGTATATTTTTAAAACATTTTTCTATACCATAAGGAACTTATAGACTCTCCACTGTGAAAATATTTGCAGGATTTGTCCTGATGAATTAGCTTCAGGGGAAAATATTTCCTCATTATCCTCCCCCCAACATAAAAAGTTCTCATTCTACTAAATTAGAAATGTGCACTAAAGACCCATTCAATAAAGGACACTGAAATGGAAATTAACTCAAGTCTGCTTTCAATTAATTTCAATTCCCCAAAGTGCCAGACTTTCCTTTTCTGTCACAGCAGTAATTGGAAAGTAATAACAATCCTAAGCTCCCGTGGTCTTATCCGTGTATGTGTGCGTGGGGTATACATTCTAGGTCAGCATGGGGGAGGGTCAGGAAATTTTCCCATATTCTTTAGGTTTCCATTAACTTTATTATTTGAATTAATTATATAAAAATCTGGTTACAACTTCTTAGGTTATTGTTTCAACATCCCTACTTCTCTATTGCAATAATTTTAGAGCCTTTGTTTTTTAAGCAGCAGAAACTTATTTTAAAAGGAAATCTTTCCCCAAAAGCTACAGAATGTGAAACAGATAAGAGCAGTGAGACTCTGGTTGGGTGGGATAGAGAGGGAGGCCCAGAACTCCTCTAGCTTGGTGGCTTTCTCTCTGCTCCCAAGGCAGGCTCAAAAAGAGCCTGAGGGCTTTAAAGAGTACAGACTGAAAACCACTGTAATGATTGGGCACAGCTTAGAGACTAACAGGCTTTTTCTAAGAATGTAATAGTACTTTCCCAAGGGTCTGCCCAGGCCCAGATGGGTGTTTTTAGAGGCTAACACAGCTATTGTGGAGTTGGAAAGAAAGGAAGGCTGGGGAAGAAATCGGGGACATATTAACTTGATGGGAGAAATATGATAGCATCTGACGGTTATTTATGCAAAGGTAGGCAGTGATTGAAGGTCTATGAAGGGCAGAGGAAAGAATTACTGGGCTCAGAGAGTGAGGGATTTCCATGAAAATAAAGCGCAGACTACAAGTAAGATCTCACAGGGGATTTCATCATGTAATAAGGCTCTTTTGTTATTCTCCCTTTTAAAATGTACCTTTCAGTATATATTACTTATTAATATGATCATACTCTTCAAACAAGTAATTCTCGTCTGGAAACCTAGCCTAAGGAAACAATGTCTTAAATATGAGGGAAAAAGCTATATATCTTTTTATATTCAAAACAGAATATAAAACTGAAAAACAGAAAACTGTCCGAATATTCAAAAATTAGGGAAGAAAAAAATGACAAATTTCTTCAAACCACTATTTTTCACGAATTAAGTATAATAATTGTGCAACTATATGGAGAAAGCCAGGAGTGATAAAAACACCAGTTCTGAAATCACAGAGACCTGAGTTCAATTCTGGCTCCCTCTGCCTTTTCTTTTCCGTGATCCTGGGCATATTACTGCCTCATTTTCCTAAGCCTCAACATTTTCATCTATAAAATGATAACAATACATACTAAACAGGGTCAATATATGGAGTCAATTAAATGTGACAATATAAATGAAATATGAAGTGCAGCGCTGGGCACACAGCAGCTGTTCAGTAAAGGTCAATTCCCTCTCTACCATTCCTGGTATAGAGCACGGGGAGCTGATTATGCTCTGTTAACAGATTTGTAGACAAACTTAAGGAAATACATGGTTTCCTAGGAAAATATAAATCACAAAATTAGAAAAGCTGAGTAGATCAATTATCTTTGAAGAAATTGAAAAGAACTTAAAGATCAGTCTACCTTTTCTAAAAAGGCACCAGGACCAAATGTTTTCATAGCTATGCTCTATTACCTTTTTTAAAAAATATTTTTATTGTTGATAATATTATAGATATCTTCAATCCCCCCCCTTTACCTCCCTGCTCCCAGCCCCTACCCATTCCCCCAGTCCCCCAGATCTTCACTACCCCACTGCCCGTGTCCATATAAGTATATAAGTTCTTTGGTTTATCTCTTCTCGTCCCCCCAACCCCACATTGAGGTATATCAGTCTGTTCCATGCCTCCCTGCTTCAGATCTTATTTTGTTGGTCAATTCATTTTGCTCATTAGATTCCACAAATAAGTGAGATCATGTGATATTTGTCTTTCTCAGTTTGGCTTATTTCATTTAGCATAATATTTTCCATGCTGTCCCAAAGGGTAAGAGATCCTTCTTTTATACAGCTACATAGTATTTCATAGTGCAAATGTCCGACAGCTTTTTTATCCATTCATCTACTGATGGGCACTTGGGCTGTTTCTAAATCTTAGCTATTGTAAATTGTGCTGCTATGAACACAGGGGTGCATATATTCTGATTGGTGTTTTGGAGTTTGTGGGATCACTGGGTCAAACGGAAGTTCCATTTTTAATTTCTGGAGGAAACTCCATACTGTTTTCCATAGTGGCTGCACCAATCTGCATTTCCACCAGTAGTGAACTAGTGTTCCCTTTTCTCCACATCCTCACCATTTTGATGATAGCCATTCTGACAGGTATGAGGTGATATCTCATTGTGGTTTTAATTTGCTTTTCTCTGATGATTAGTGACTGAGCATTTTTTCATGTGTCTCTTGGCCATTTGTATGTTGTTTCTGGAGAAATGTCTATTCAGGTCTTCTGCCCATTTTTAAATTGGATTGTTTGTCTTCTTTTTGTTGAGTTATATGAGTACTTTATATATTTTGGATATTAACCCCTTATCAGAAATGTCATTGGCAAATATGTTCTCCCATTCAGTAGGTTCCCTTCAATTTGGTGGTGGTTTCTTTTGCTGTGTAGAAGCTTTTTATTTTGATGTAGTCCCATTTGTTCATTTTCTCCTTAGTGTCCTTTGCCCTAGGAGATGTATCCATAAACATATTGCTGTGTGAGATGTCTGAGAT